CCTTTTTACTTCTCTTCACTCGTAAAAGTACTTTTCCCAAGTATTTTATAGAAGCCCTTGCTTTAGTTTATACGCCAAGTGAATGAAAAGTTTAAGATGGGCTTTTTAAATAAAAATTTATATCATGAGACAAGTTGAAATATTCTTTTAAAGTCTTTTGCCAGAAATTTCTTTTGTCCCCCTTTTTGAAACTATCACTTTTCAAAAGTACATCTTTTTTTTTAAAACAATATATTTTTCTTTTAAATAATTTTTAGGCTAATTTCCATATATTTTTCTATATTCTATTCCTGATTTACACAGTAAAAACGATAATCTAATTTTAAGAAGCTCCTACTTAAATAGGAGCCAAGAATATTCCCTACTTAAATTAAGTGGGAAATATTCTTACAATTAGAATATCAATATTTATTGTAAGAATATTTCTTACTTAATTCAAGTGGAGCCACTTAATTTAAGTAGGGAATATGCTTGGCACCTATTTAAGTAGGCGCTTCTTAAAATTAGTTTATTAATTAAGTGCCCCACTTAATTTTAGTAGGGAATATCCTTAACACCTATTTAAGTAGGCGCTTCTTAAAATTAATTTATTAATTAAGTGTCCCACTTAATTTTAGTAGGGAATATTCTTTTCTCCTATTTAAGTAGGCGCTTCTTAAAATTAAATTATCGTTTTTTCTGTGCAGCGACTGTTTTTTTGTTGAAAAACATTCATTTTTAATTGATTATTGAAAATTATTTCTGATAATCAAAATTTTTCTTTTTTTATGAAAATATTCACTAATTGCGTCCAAAACAAACGAATCAATTCTCAAATGAAAAGAAAAATGTTTTATTCAAACAATTATTTGCATGACAAATTCAATCTATATTATACACCTGTTGTAATATAGATGAATATAAATAATTTACATTTCCTGAGTCGAGTGTCTCTGGAACAAAACATCAAATTAAAACTCCTGAGAAAACAATTATTTTAACAAGCTGCAAAAAGGGGGGGGGGAGGGAATAAAAAAAATTTCAAACAAGTAAAAAGCTCAGTGACCTACTTTTAACTTTGCACCGGCGTGCCTGACGTCTTTTAAAGCTTTCTTCCGCCACTTTTCTTTCTACTCCTTGTGTTACTTTTTCTTCTTGTTTTTTTTTCTCCTCTTTCCTTTTCATTTCTTTTTTTTCCTCTCTTTCTTTCTCTCTCTCTCTCTTTACTGACTGGTCTTCTCGACTTCTTTTCGTTTCGGTCGACCGCCAATAAATGTGGTACGAAATTAACGTTGAAATTTTCAAGCAAAGTTTTCTCAAACAATTAAAAGAAAATTTTTCTTGGACATTGCGGATTCTCTAATGAAAAGGGTTATATAAATTGAAGAAAGTTCCAATATTTTTTTTTACTGAGAAAATAATTCCCTTTTTGCTTTAATATTTGATTCAAAAGCTTTGAAAAGTTATGTTGGGCAACATTTCCGGATGTAATTTCCAGAAATTTTCTGAATTGAAAAATGGGTTAATCTATGTGGAAATATAAGCGGAAATGGTTTTCGGAAATAAGTTTATTGAACTTTGTAACATATTCTGAAAATACTATTTTAATTTTGACATTAAAATTTAGTGGAATGTTTTCAAATTAGAAATGAAAAGATTTTTTCTGATTTTTAACTGGGGTAGTAAATTACCCCAGTTGAAAATCAGAAAAAATCTTTCTAAGGCTAAATGAAATATTAAAAAAGAATTGTAAGGAAGAATCGTTCGCGTTTCGTGATTATAGTTAGGGTTGACTTCACTAATTAATTAATTAATGATTGCAATTCAGGATACTATTTCTTCCAGTCGATTTCTGCATTAGACAGTTCACGAAAAGGATCGCGTACCCAATTAGAAAGAGTAGCGATTTTTGTTCAATCCAGTTTCCATCAGACTCGCCACTGGAAAAGGTAATTGCATTTTCCAGTCCTGACGGCTAAAGAAACTCATCGGTCGACTTATCTTTCAGACCATTCTAGCCTCCAATCTCTATCATTTCCCTTGCCACTATAACGCCCACCACGTCCTTTAAAACATGAAACTTCAATTTCTCATGTCACTCTTATTTTCAACACCTTCTTCAGTTTCCATATAAGGGAAATTATTTGAAACCTACTACGACGTCTCAGGAATAGGAGCCAAGAATATTCTCCATTTAAATTAAGTGGTCCCACTTAAAAAAAATTTCAATTCTCTTTATAAATAATAAAATCCTTCTCTGATATACAATTATTTTACAAAATTTTAATCAAATTCTTGTCAAAATTTCAATTATTTTCAAAAGTTTTCTAAAATTCAATGATTTTCAATATCTACTATTTCAATAAAATTTTCCAAAAGAATTCCATTATTAAAAAAAAAAATTCGAATAAAATTCTACGCAAACATTCAATTATTTTCATAAATAATAAAAATTTTTACAGAAATTCAATTATTTACAAATTTTTTTCAAAAATTTCTTCGCAATAATTCAATTATTTTCATAAATAATATCATTTTTGCAGGGATTCAATTATTTTTATAAATAATAAAATTCTTTTTAGGAATTCAATTATTTTCATAAATAATAAAACTCATTGCATAATTTCAATTATTTTTAATGCAATATTAATCGAATTCCTCGAAAAATGTAATTATTCTTAAAAATTTTATTAAAATTCGTCCAAAGAATTTAATGATTTAAAAAATTTATTGATAACATTTTTTATGAGAATTTAATTTCAAGAAACATGAAATTAATAAATTATTTATTTTTGTATTTAAATAATATTGAATTCTCGTAGAATTTACTGATAAAAATGATTTTAAAAATGAATTTCAGTTAAAATTTTAGATTATAATTAAATATTAAAAGCATAATAACGTAGATTTTCAGAAATAATTATATTTTGAAAAAGTTTCAAATTAAAATTATTAAAATTCTTAATTTTTCATATTTTCGCCAAACAATTCTGTAGAATTAATTATTTTTAAAAGTATAATAAGATTTTTATTGAAATTATTTCAAGTTCTTATTTTTCAATATATATATATATATATATATATATATATATATTTAATTGCAGAATTTCCGATGTAATTGAAATTTTGTAAAATTGAATTGTAAACGAATGAATTTGAAAATTCTCAAAGAACTTTTTTTAAAAATTATTAATAATAATGGATTTATTGAAGAATTTATTAGTTAAAAATACTAGAAAAAAAAATTTAATTTCAGAGAATATTAAGTTACAAATTATTGCAGAAATTCAATTATTTTCAAGAGTAATAAAATTCTTCTTAAGGATTCAATTATTTTCACTAATAATAAAACTCATCGCAGCTATTCAATTATTTTTCATACAATTATAATTGAATTCCTTGAAAAAAGTAATTATGTTCATGCAAGTTTTAATAAAATTCGCCAAAAAAATTTAATTATTTAAAAATTTGTTAATAAAATTCTTTATGAGAATTGAATTTTGAGAAACATTCAATTATTCAATAAATTATTTACTTTTACATTTAAATAATTAAATTCTTGTAGATTTTTCTAATAAAAATTGATTTTCATTTCATAAAAATGAATTTCAGTTAAAATTTTAGATTGAATTATGATTTAATTGAATATTAAAAGCAATATAGCGTGAATTTTTAGAAATAATTGAATGTTGAAATTAATTTTTTTTTAAATGATTTGAAATTTTTATTTTCTAATATGCATTTAATTAAAGAATTTAGGAATAATTGAAATTTCGTAAAATTTAATATTGTAAACAAATGGATTGGAAAATTGCCAAAGAACTTTTTCGAGAAAATTATTAAAAATAATTGATATAAAGTAGAATATTGTAGTTAAAATTTTTTGAAAATAATAATTGAATTGAAATAATAAAAATAATTTTGAAAAAGATTTTTTTAAAATATAAAATAATGATTTTATTACTTGGTCATCTTTAATTATTATAAAATATGAAGAAATCTGACACTCCGAGTCGAAGACTCGCAGTTATCGATATCTTCATGTTTTATATAGTTATAAAAAAAATTTAATGAACTAAAATTTCATTCATTGTAAAAAATAACACCAAAATTGATTATTTTAATCTTTTTTTGGTGTTAATTTAATCTGCAACACTATTGAAGATTAATTCCAAACAGTTTCGCAAAAATTCAAAATGACGGATTCAATATGGCGGACCAAGTAATTAAAAATGAATTAAATTTTCTTGTAATATTTTACTCAAAGGTTTTCGCGGTTGTTGAATACGAATTTAAAACTAGTTTTTTAAAATAGTCATTAGGCATTAGGGTGTAAAGTATTTGAAAATATATCAAATCTGCTGTTATAAAATTCGATAAAAAAAAATCCAAAAACCCCTGTGTAAAAGGTTTCAAAAAAATTAGATTTACTTTTAATTATATAGCCCGACATATTAGATCCGACATTTTGCATTTTTAAATACAAGATTTTATTTTTTTATGAAACAATAAGAAACAATATATCAGTAACATTTTTTTTGGTACATCATCATAGCCTCGTACAAACGAATATTAAATCGAGAAACTATTTTACTATTTACCTAATGGTAAATAGTAAAAGTTAGTATAAAGAATGTTAATGTTCTACACAGAAAAAACAATAATTTAATTTTAAGAAGCTTCTACTTAAATAGGAGGCAAGAATATTCCCTACTTGAATTAAGTGGGGCACTTAATTAATAAACTAATTTTAAGAAGCGCCTACTTAAATAGGAGCCAAGAATATTTTCCACTTCTTAAAATTAGTTTATTAATTAAGTGCCCCACTTAATTCAAGTAGGGAATATTCTTGGCTCCTATTTAAGTAGGCGCTTCTTAAAATTAGATTATCATTTTTTCTGTGTATAGTTATTAAATAGTATTCTGTAAAAAAAATTAATTTTTCAAAGAAAAAAGTGTTTTTTAAATCGACTATTTAAAAAAATTGTCTAATTTCAATAAAACCTATATAAAAGACTCACCATCATTTGAGCAACAGCCAAAAATTTCGCCCAATTGAAAAATCGCTTCGAATCACAAATTCACAATTTTCACTATAGTTTCATAAGAAACATTCGATTTTTTTGTTCTTTTTTTTTTTGAGGAAAAAAAATAAAATTAGCGTACCAATTTTTTTTTTTTTTTTTTATTACCGTCCAAGTGCTAAAACACGCACACACGACTGACACCCACGGTTTAGTTTGATTTAAACTTTGTGCGAGTAGTTTTATAAGTTTCGTTGACCTTGTCCTGTCCCCCACTTGTGGCGATTGGATTCACACTCCCCCGCCTCCTCGTCCCCCTATCTCTTTAGGGGTTCACGGGTGAACCGAGCCGTGAACCCATCCTACACCTGCTGGGTTCCTCTGACTCCGGGGAATATCGTTATCTGAGACATTTATCGGTTCGCCGCCGAGTGCTACTACTCCCTTTGTTGTCTTGATCGCCAACAAAAAAAAAAAAAAAAAAAAAAAAAAAAAAAAAAATCGGAAAATAAAGAATATACGAAAATAATTAAGTAATCAGCATTCTCGTGAATAAATCTACTTTTTCTGTTGTTTTTTTCATTTTTTACAATCTTAACAAATATTTTTCTTTTTTCTTTGATGAAATGTTGTTCTTTTCTTGCTCTCTTTCAGGGTCTCAATTTAGGATCTTGAAAAAATCGATTTTAAAAAAAAAAACTATTCAATTTAAATAAAAATTTGAATGTTAAAAAGTTTTTCTTTTGCAAATCTACTTTTTTTGCTGTTTTTCAAAATTTTTTTGACAATCTTAACAAATATTTTTTATCCATTTGCTGAAATTTTGTTCTTTTCTTGCTTTCATTCAGGGTCTCAATTTAGAATCTTGAAAAAATTGATTTTAAAAAATCTATCCAATTTAAATAAAAATTAAATGTTTTTCTTTGCAATTCGAGATTATGTATTCAATTTTTATAAATTAAATTTATCAAAAAACAAAAAAATACCCTTTTTAGCTACCATAATTAACATATTTTTTTAATTCAGTATAGTCGAGAGAAGACGTTGGTTACTTTATTTTTATTTTCTCGGAACAAAGACAAACGCTTTTAATTTTTTTTTTCTTTTTTTTTGCTAGCGCAGGAAAAAGAGCGCGCGCGGAACAGAGATTCATTCAAGTAAAGATTTGATTCGCATGATAAAAGTGAAATAAAAATACGAATTCCCTAAAGATTGTGTTTTATATGTTAGATAAGTGTATGGAAGTAGATAGTTAAAAGGGGATACCAAAATGAAATAAAGAGTTGAGGAAAAAAAAACAGTTCAACTAAGGGAATTGAGATCCAAGAATGATTTAATCTTGAGGCGTAATAGCGATATACGGCGTTTTACGGTGTATGCATTCTAATAATAAAGTTTATACTCTAAATAGTATTTTTGTAAACTCAGACTTTGCACACGATAATTAATTTTAAAAAAGTAGTAAAAAATAGTTTTTAAATTAAAAAAAGTAGCAAAAAAAAGTAGATATCGAAAAATTAAACATGACAATAAAAAAAACTCTTTTTAGACACTTCACAAAACTGACAAAAATTCCATTCTATTTATTTTCCTGACTTTTTCCTAATTTTCATTAAAAATATTTACTTTTTTCTTATCCTGCTAATAAATTGAATTCATGCAACGAATTTAATTATTCATTATAAAGAATTTAAATATTTGTAAAAATAATTTAATTCATGCGAAGAATTTTATAAAATTTTTTAAATAATTGATTTCTTTCGAATAATTTTATGCAAATTCTAATTTGAATAATTAAATTCCTGAGAAATTTTTATTATTCAAGAATTGAATTGCGAAAAGTTTTTAAAAATAATTAAATTTTACAAAGAATTCTATTAAAATTTTTGCCAATAATTGAATTTCTAAAAAGCATTTTTAGATAATGAAAATGCCTGAAAATTATTAGCATAAAAATAATTGAATTATTGCGAAAAATTTTATTAGAATTTTTTTAAATAATTTTAAAATAATTGAATTTTAAGATGAATATATTGCTATTTATGAAAAAAATTAAATTTTGCAAAGAATTTTATAAAAAGTTAATTAAAACTTTCAAAAATAATTATATTCCTGAGAAAAATTTTATTATTAATGAAAATAATTAAATTATTGCAAAAAATTTTATTAGAATGATTTGAAAAGGATTTCTACATGTTCTAAATACTTAATTTTTTCGAAATATAATAAATAATATAAAAATTTTATTTTATATAATTGAATTCTTGTGGAAAATTGCATTTGTGAAAATAATTGAATTTTCTATTAATTAATTTAAAAATAGTATTAAAAATAATGGAATTCTTCCTTATAATTTCTTTAAAAAAATTTTTAAATAATTGAATTTCCATGAAAAATGTTCCTATTATTAGTGAAAGTAATTGAATTATTGTAAAATTTGAAAATTTTTTTGAAAATGCTATTCAAAATTAAATGAATTCCTGTGGACATTTTATTATTTATTAAAATAATAGTATTTTGGAAGAATTTTATAAAAAAATTTTAAATAATTGAATTCTTTTTCGATATTTTATTAAAATACAAGATATTGAAAATAATTGAATTTTGAAAAGTTTTTAAAAATAACTAAATTTTACAAAGAATTATATTAAAATTTTTGACAATAATTGAATGTAGGTGTGTGGTATTTTATTAAATTTTTTTGAAAATAATAATTGAATTTCTAAAAAGCATTTTATTATTCATGAAAATAATTGAATTCTTGCGAACAATTTTGTTAGAATTTTTTAAAATAATTAAATTTCCAAGAAGAAATTTATTACTTTTAAAAATAATTAAATTCTTGTGATGAACATTATTATTTATGAAAATAATTGAATTTTGCAAAAAATTGTTTTAAAATGCCTCAAAATAATTGAATTTTGCAAAGAATCTTATTAAAATGCCTCAAAATAATTGAATTTTCGGGAATAATTTTGTTATTTATCGACATAATTTAATTCTGTCGAAGAAATTTTTATGTAAATAATTGAACTCTAAAATCTAAAAGAATAATTGAATTGTTTCGAAATAATTTAATTTAATTTGTACCTATATTTAAAATAACAATTTTAATAAAATATTTAAAAATAATTGAATTCCTAAGGAGAATTTTATTATTTATGAAAATAATTGAATTATTGCGAAAAATTTTATTAAAATGTTTAAAAAGAATTGAATTTCTTTGAAAAATTTTGTTATTTTTGAAAATAATTAAATTCTTCGTAAGAATTTAATAAACATTGTTTAAAATAATTAATTTTTTCAAAATATAATAAATATTATGAAAATTTTATTTTAAATAATTGAATTCTTGTGGAAAATTTAATTTGTAAAAATAATTGAATTTTTCTGTTAATTAATATAAAATAGTTGGTATTAAAAGTAATTGAAATTCTTCAATGAGATTTATTATTTATGAAAATAATTGAATTTCTGCTTAGAATTTTATCAAAATTTTTTTTAAATAATTGAATTTCCATGAAAAACGTTATTATTAGTGAAAGTAATTGGATTATTGTGAAATTTTTAAATTCTTTTGAAAATGTTATTCTAAACTAATTGAATTCCTGTGAAAATTTTATTGTTTATGAAAATAATTGAATTTTTGAAGAATTTTATAAATATTTTTTTAAATAATTGAATTCTTTTGCGAAATTTTATGAAAGTACTAGATATTGAAAATAATTGAATTTCGAATATTTTTTGAATTTGATTGTAATTTTTGAGAATAGTAGCTGTTATTGGCTGAAATCTAAAAATGTAACGAGGTTTTTTCTATTTTATTTAAATATTCAGCGAAAATTTTCGAGACTTTCATAAAATGCTAAAAAATTCAAGAAAAATCTTTTTTTGAAAATTCTAACTTATCCTAAGTTTTCAAATAAAGAGATTGAACAATTTTAAATAGTACATTATTTTAAAAATTGCCTTTCGTCATTTCGTGACATGGAGAAAAATTTCCGACATTTACGGATATAGTGTTGAATAATATTAACAAAATTTATAAACGTGCGACTAACTGAATGAGACTATAGACAGGAAGCAGAAAGCTTTGATATAGAAAAAGGGTGTTCTCCATGTCAATCAGGTGTGTACGTAAAATTTTTAACATTACATTTCCCTAATTTAAACATATGACCTAGTTTTTAAATAACAATTCATCTTTTTTATATTTGACACAAGGAAAATAAGAAATAATTTTCCTTGTGCAATAAACTAATAAAATGAATATTTGACGAAATAATGACAAAAGCAAATAAAACACAAATTATGCAATAAAATCCCATATTCTAAATCTCCCCCCAAAAAAACATGATATCTCAAAAAATAACGATTCGAACTTTCTAAAATTTCAGTTTTTTTTTAAACTGAAATTTCAGAAAGTTCGAATCGCTATTTTTTGAGATATCACGTTCAGCGACTTTGAAAATAGCGTTTTTTTAGATAAACGCCTTTTTAAGTTTTTCCAAAAGAATATAAGACCTTGATAAAAAACTTTTTTTAAACCCACTCAGCATTATCGATTCCAGAGTCACACTATAAATCCTCCAACGACTCGCCAAAGTCCAATATGTCACACTGTTGCAGTCTGCGAAGAATTTTTTCCTCCTGCATAGCAAGTTATGCTTCAGGTTCGACTTAAAGCTATATTCGCCTTTCGATATTTTTTTTAAATGAATTCGAAACTTTAGGAAAACATTTTTGTGTTTTATACAATGCAAAAAACAAAATTAATTTTAATTAAATTTATTTTTTATTTTTCCGTTCGCCATATTGGATCCGCCATTTTGAATTTTTTAAATCTGACTTCATATTCGTAATCAGCGACCCCAAAAACCCCCGAGTAACAAGTTTTAAGCAAATGCTATTGTTTTTTAATTTTTCCGCCATATTGAATCCGCCATTTTGAAATTTGACGCGCTTTGACTACAGAGCGTGAACCAAATTTTAATAAACGTTGTTTTTTTGAAATGCTTCACATAAAAATTAATAAACATAGAATTAATAAAGAAGAAGATATTTTATATACTTAAATAAAATTTATTTTCCCCTAATAAGCAAAGTAAATTAATAATTGAATGTTTCTCAAAAATATTAAATTCTTTAAAAACGAAATTGTGAAAATGAAATATTTTATTATAAAAGTTTAAAATTACTTAATTAAAGATAAAGAATATAAAAATGAAATTAAG